GCAGTTAAAGTACGTAACGGGGCAGAGAAAAAATGTATGCACAAGGAAATCTGATAGAGACAGAGGATTTAGTATCTCAGAGTTGAGCTTCAAGGCTGAACAAATAAGTAATACAAAACAGACCAACAGGTTTCTGCAACAGCAAGCAATACAATCACACCTCAGTATCCGGTCGAACACAGCGGTTTTTAACGATCAACAACCACAGAAACTGGTAAGGTTCAATCCCAACTTATCAATTAGCTTAGAATCACTTAGTGTTCTGCTTTTATCAGTAGCTACTTGCTAAGCTTGTGCAGGAACCATGCTAATCTTTTTTGTATTCCTCTAATTCTATGAAGTACCTTAGAAATTCGAAAGGACTACTTTGGCACCTAGACCTAGAATTAGTTTTCAAAGAATTGTGAGTTAGCTGGACTCAGATCATAGGACTCTATTATACTGACAGTATCTAACTGTGTCTTGTCCATTACAGTATAAATTCATGCTTCAACAACTTCACATCCTCCAATTGAACAGGTGCAGCAAATAAATATGTACAGGCAGTTTTACTCCAATTCACATCCTCATCCCTAGGAACTAATTCAATAGAAGTAACTTCAGATTTTAAGTTAGTGACAGAAAACAAGTCATTGAAGTTATGAAAGAAAATGATATCAGCATGAAGGTATCCTTCCCTCTTCTGAACTCTCTTGAACTTTTATAAGTCTAAGAGACCACAGTGGGGCAAACTAAGCTGCTTTCTCTAAACCTAGAAAGGAATCAATCAAAATTCACTAGACTTATCCAAGTAAAAAGCTAGGAAGAGTTATTGTTTTTTGGAAAGATGGTTACTAAACTAAACTAAATGCAGTTCACATCAATGCATTAGAAATGCTAGTAAACTTAGAACAAGAAACGAATAAGTAAAACATGGAAAGTAAGACAAGTAGTACCCAGGAACGGGTCCTAGTACTTCACTATAATACCTGTTCTTACTGTCACTGAACAATTAAACTTTCCGTAGCTATCAGTTTGGCATTGCCCTCCCGCCTTATAACAATGATGACATTCTGTTGTCACATTTACTTTCAGGGCGAACACATGAGTTGACAAATTTAAAAATTCAACACTGTTTTGTGTCTTATTCACACGGAAGGGAATACGAGAACATGATTGATATACAGAACCCGGCAATTCAGAAGTTGGGAGATAGTATAAAAACAAGTGTTTGGAGTCATTGCAGAACAAACCGGAATTTTTTTTCTCAGAAAAATTGAGAGGGCAACTGAATATGTTTTGGTTGTAGGCATTTTCAAAAAAGAGAAAAGGAGTGATGGGAAGACTCAAATTTTTTAAGGATCCGCAGCTACGATTGTCGAAGGGTTTCAGCAATTTTTGGTCACGAAGCGTGACCATATTATCCTGAGAGATGCTTGAAACATAAAACTGTTGCCCATGACTCCCCAGTTGAATCTTCTGAAACGTTTGGTCACAGTCATCTACTATGCATAAGCCACACTCGGGATGCGTTCGATTGGAGAAGGGGAAGCCGATCTCGCCGAGTAAACCACAAGAGAAAGGTGGACATTTTGAATTGATTCTCCTTTCTTCTTCAGCCAAGCCAAGAAGTAAAAGATGAAAGACAACAAACAACAAAACACAACACAAACGAGCCATTCTTCCAAACTCCTCTAGCTCTTAACGTTTCTTAATAGTTCTTCTCAATATAGAAGCAGAGTTGCTTCTTCTTCAAAAGTAAAACACGCCAGTTGACTTGGAAATTGCAGGGGGGAAGACTTGAGAAAAACACAAGGAAATAAGCGAAAGTCGGGGGCATTCGCGGAAAGAATAGACTTACAGTGCACGAAAAACCAATTCTCATTGGTCGGCCAAAGACGAAAGTAAACCTTTCAGCTCCTACTACTGTTTAAACTAAGAATAAACCGATTGACTATTCTGCTGGCTTTTAAGTTGACTTTTCGGCAGCTTATTTGACTTATTGGCTCTATGATTCCGCCAGATTAAGAAAATTCACAGCTTAATGGCCACAAAACGATTGCCCATCTTTTTCATTTCCACAAACTTTACAGAAGTTTTTGGTGTGTCCTGTGAGAAAAGTTTATAAAAATCTCAACATGGTGAGATCGGAGGAATTGGACAAAGATGAAAACTATAGAACTTCTGATTGGTGGGTGATTTCGTACACGTATAAACGAATTACGAAATTTCTCTACCTAATAGACTAGTGTTTTGGGTTGAATAATCACTCTTCCAGACGTTTCAGGGAAGAAAGGGTCAAATTTTACAAAGAAAGGGATGTGCAAGTTTAAATGCTAAGGATCTCACACTTGGACTTAAAACGCTAAGCACACAGATTCATACAAAACAGACAAATAGGTTTCTGCAATCCACAGGCCTCAAATCAGTTACCAGAAATTTTCCCCAAGACTACTTCTGCTAAGTTTGAGGATAATTAAATAGAAGACAACTAGAAAATCCTACACAAAACAGCTATTCTGAAGGCGACGAGACAAAGAACCATATTCATGAACATTGTTGAACATGCATTAAATAGCTAATGGAACATAGAGCAACTGAAAAGGTTCAATGTTCACCTCCTGGGAAAAATCAAATGATCAAATAGCCTAGAAGTGCTTAGTGTTCTGCATAAAAGTCGCTAATTGCTCTAGAGGAGTCATACTAGTCTTCTCTGTATTCTCGTGATTCTATCGAGTACCTTATAAATTCAAAACAATTAATTAGTTTCTATCTAGTACAGTTTAGCTCTACCTATCTGTAAATCCTGTTTATAATATATAAGAGCTTTAAATAGAAATAGTTAGGGGGCTAAATGAAAAAAGAGTGAAGATTTAGCCTACCAATCTTGCAGTTTTGAGCATGGGATCCATCAGGGCAGAAACAAACATTTTTATCCTCNTAAGAAAATTCACAGCTTAATGGCCACAAAACGATTGCCCATCTTTTTCATTTCCACAAACTTTACAGAAGTTTTTGGTGTGTCCTGTGAGAAAAGTTTATAAAAATCTCAACATGGTGAGATCGGAGGAATTGGACAAAGATGAAAACTATAGAACTTCTGATTGGTGGGTGATTTCGTACACGTATAAACGAATTACGAAATTTCTCTACCTAATAGACTAGTGTTTTGGGTTGAATAATCACTCTTCCAGACGTTTCAGGGACGAAAGGGTCAAATTTTACAAAGAAAGGGATGTGCAAGTTTAAATGCTAAGGATCTCACACTTGGACTTAAAACGCTAAGCACACAGATTCATACAAAACAGACAAATAGGTTTCTGCAATCCACAGGCCTCAAATCGGTTACCAGAAATTTTCCCCAAGATTACTTCTGCTAAGTTTGAGGATAATTAAATAGAAGACAACTAGAAAATCCTACACAAAACAGCTATTCTGAAGGCGACGAGACAAAGAACCATATTCATGAACACTGTTAAACATGCATTAAATAGCTAATGGAACATACAGCAACTGAAAAGGTTCAATGTTCACCTCCTGGGAAAAATCAAATGATCAAATAGCCTAGAAGTGCTTAGTTTCTGCATAAAAGTAGCTAATTGCTCTAGAGGAGTCATACTAATCTTCTCTGTATTCTCGTGATTCTATTGAGTACCTTATAAATTCAAAACAATTAATTAGTTTCTATCTAGTACAGTTTAGCTCTACCTATCTGTAAATCCTGTTTATAATATATAAGAGCATTAAATAGAAATAGTTAGGGGGCTAAATGAAAAAAGAGTGAAGATTTAGCCTACCATCTTTGCAGTTTTGAGCATGGGATCCATCAGGGCAGAAACAAACATTTTTATCCTCTTCAAACCCACATCTGCCACCACTGTTTCTGCACCCAGCACAGCTCTGTCCAGTCCATTTAAGCGTAAATCCATCCTTCAACAGCTTTACATAGTCAAAACTATATATTGTTCGATTAACTTCACTTTCCTCCAACTGAACAGGTGCTGTGACTAAATATTCACAGGCAATTCTACTCCAATTCACTTCCTCATCTCTAGGGACTAATGCAATAGAACTATTGTAGGTTGCATTTGAGGCACAGGGAACCTCAGTTTTTGTGTAATTGACCTCAAATGAGACGTTGCAGTTACGAAAAAAGAATAGATCAGCATGGTAGGGTCTGAAGATGAGGGAAGCGCGATCAAAGGAGAAATTATGAACCGGGGTTATGCAAGAGTCATTAGACAGTACCTCTTTATCTACTAATCGAAACCACTGGTTTTCGTAAGAAATGTCTTTAATGATGAAGAGACCACTTGAGGTCTTATAAATAGGTTCATCATTTTCACAAGCAATTCTGAAACCTGGATGGCCACAGAATTCTTCGCCAGCATCCTTAACATAGAAAGGGTAGCTTATGTTTGGGCCCAAACCACAGTTTATAGGTGCACAAGCTTCGTATTTTGATTGATCTTCAGATAGAACTAACTCTATTAGCATGGCTGCGGTAAACAAAATGATCCCACCATTGCAGATCAATCTGAAATTGAACAAGATGCGCATACCCATATGGGAGCACATTGATGAAAACGAGGCTTGGGAGAATTCAAGGGCGGCCTAACTGTTTAGAATGCTAAATATTTTTTCCCTTTTCAATATTTTCCTCTCCCACTAGTGGTCCTCAATTTGACTTGGAATGCTGTGCACAATTTTTCCAATTCAAAAGATTGAAAAGAATTTTATATGTCACAGATTGGTTGGACTTGAAGGCCTTATAGTATTAAATTAACAATACAATCAACATCAAATGTTGTCATGGTATCATCAAGGTAACCATCTACTAAGATTATAAAATTCAGAATCTAAACGCTTGCAACCTGTACTAGGAACAAACAATCAACAACTAAACAAAAACGTTTTATATTAATTTTCTTATTGTTTTATACTCTTATTTTATCAATAAAATAGCACCCTTGATGTCCCTTAGACGTCCAGGATCTAAATAAATAAATAAAAAATAGTAATCATGATTGTTTTTCTTGTTTAGACTTTCCAGGGTCATGTAGAAGATTCCCTGGAAAATGCTTAGATGTTAAGAAAAAACTTTAAAAAAAAACATGGAAAATATACAGGCAAGTCCCAGCACTTTCACAGTAATTTGTGATACCTGTTCTGGAGTTTGAACAATGAAATTTCCCCCTGCTGTCAATTTGACATTCTCCCTTTCTCCTATGACGACATTCTCTGGATACATTCACCTGAAGACGGAATCGACCGGTGTATAAATTAAGGATTTCAACCCTTGTTTGAGACTTGTTCACTAGGAACTGAATAGATGAACATGGAACAGTTCTTGGCAACTTTTTATAAATAGAATGTTTGGAGTCATTGCAGAGAGAAACGTAATTCGAATTAATATCACTAATCCGTGAACAATTGAACAGGTTTTGAGGGTAAGGTTCAACAGAGATAAAAGGAGGGATGAAAAGGGTCAGACTTTTTAACAAGGATTTGCAGCCAATAGTATGAAGATCAGATGTTTGGTTCTGGTTTTCCTGAAGCCTAAGAGTGTTATCCTGAGAAATGCCTGTAACATAAAACCAAGGCCCTCCTTTTCCCAGTTGAATCTTCTGAATTTGTTCATTGCAGTTATCCACAATGAAGAATCCACACTCAGGATGTGTTCCATTGTAAAAAGGGAAGTGTAAAAAACCAAGATCTCCACATTGAAAACTCGGACATCTTGGATTCGAAACCGTCTCTTCATCGGCCAAAGAAAGATGAACAAACAGATGAAAGATTGTGAATATCACAAGATAAAGCACAGAAGCCATTGCAAAATTCAAATTATGGCCACGGACCGATTAGTATTGAGAAATTCATTCATATTTTCTACTTGTTTTATAGCATAATTAGTCGTATATCCATTAAAGGACAACAGTTGACTTGGAAATGGACTTGCAGAAACAGGAAGAGTGAAGTGGAAGAGGGGCGTTTACTTCAAAGTTCAAATATTCACAGAGTTAGCAGTGCATCGTGAAAAACCATTTTGATTAGCAGTGCATCGTGAAAAACCATTTTGATTGGTCTAACTATAAATAATTAAAGAAAAAGTTTCCTTTTCTTCTCCAGCTGCAATGAGTACTACAAAGACCAGACCCATTTGCTCTTCAAAAAGCTTTGAACGTTTAAAGTTGAGACCGTTCTGAGTGGAATAATCAAAGATTCCAGAAATATGGCCCCCATTCCGGGTAGACAAGGTGAGCACTACCGACCTTATCTCAGAATGAAAGTATGATTCACGTAAACATGTCTACTTTGATGAACAACCAAGAACTAATAAATTAGTCTTAGTTAAAAATAATGTAAAAGCATAATCGGTAATGACACACCACACAAAGAGAGAAATTTACTAATAATCTATTAACATAGATATACAATAGTACAAACAATAACTCGATATCTAACAGAATCTTGAATAAACCTAATAAGAGACTAACGTAGCAATCCATTGCCACAATCCCCTACTTAAATCGTGAATGTTCAAATAGGGAATTGAACATAAAACCGTACATCGATCTATACTATCTACAATTTGCCCGCTACCCACGGATGGGTATTGAAGTTGAAGTTGTTACATGGTCAACCATAAATTAAGGCATTCTAAGTTTAATTTATTTTTCTCTCAACTAATCAAATCCTTATTTTATTAGGACTATTTAAACTTTATATGTATAAGCAACTCTATGTTCCAAAGCCTGGCAACCATAATATAATACAAACAAAACCAAAGGACAAACAAGGTCAAAGCTAATCCGCTAATGACATTACACAGTCTACATTTTCGATTATAATAGAGACTAATTTTCTATTGATCAAATGTTATGACCTCAAGAATAAGGATAAAATAGTGTACACTTGGGTAATAAACAAGTAACATTCAAATGCTCCTAAGGTCAAACTATTGAAGATTTTTATTATTATTATTATTTTATTTTAATAACTGAGGCCTCAACTAATTTTTAAAGGGAGTTATCCAAAAGCAACTCATTGTCATAGCCTCTTGAGTAAATTATAAGCAAAGATATTACCTTTGCGCCCAACAGAAAATCAAACCTGGAACTGTGGATTCTACACATTTGTGATTCCCCTGGTTCGCACTTACGGCCAGGTTACCCATGGTCAAAGATTTTTATTATTAAGTTGTTCCAACTATAAAAGAAACTATATGATATTTTAATTTAATATTGGGTGGACACAGTCTCAATATTTTACAGCCTGTGGTTAGTAATTTAAGCTAAAATTATAATAAAATAATTCCCAATTTGAATATTGATAATAGATGACAATTAATCAATCTATAATCAAGGATCAGAAAACTATATATATATAAAGACAAAATTTTACTATAAATTATAAATACGAAATTACCCAAAAATAAATAAAAAAAGATGAAAGTCTAAATGGGATTCATTGTTCTAAGTTAGTTTACCTATATTGTGTGCTAAATATTTCTTAGTCTATTTTAATAAGAATGTTGTCTACTTAACTTTGATTAATTAGATAAACTCATGGGAGTGTTCAGACTTCAAAGTCAATTAATATTATGAAAATATAATAATAATAATTTCTATTCATCGAAACTATACATTAAAATTTCATTATATTATCCTGCAATCGTACCTTAATTAAACAAAATAAATTGACAGCCGACATCAAACTTGGGGCTTCTAGGAAATCACATGGAACTTGCGACATGGGACCTAAAACTTAATTAATGTGCCTTATTATTATTGTAATTTCTAAGTTGATATTTCGTATAAATATAGAAGCTACCAAGTGGGGCAACAAGACTTATTATAGGTAGGTCGTAGTCCATTCAAGATTGATGTGCCATAACGCTACCAAAATTAATATATGACATAGATATCTAACAAAATTTATGGCATATAGGTTCTAACTATATATCTAAGTTTTCTAATGTAGACGTTTTGAATTTTTTAAAATTTTGATCATATCTTTCACTTGCAAAAAATTATCGTCAGGTAATACATGATAACCTCCAATATTGCAACTAATTATAACCCGTTTGTAGATGTCTTCCACCCAAAGATCAGACTAATCTTCAAATGCCACCAAATTTGCCAAAATTTGGTGAGTCCAACCAAGGTAGATACCGATGGATAAATGAAACTAATTAAACTACGCGAGTGGTGCATAAAATTTTGCAGCAAATTAAGCCAAAAGCAGGGCAGCTGTTGTGTCTTCGCCCACTCTCAAAACGAGTGGACAAAATCACCCGAGCATGGCCTCCCATGTGTCCAGTAGCGAGCAATATCCATACACACAGACTGACCCTTTTGCTTTAAATTGATTAATCAAAAGTTTCATAAACGATGCAGTAACCCAGATGAAAAAAATATCTAAAAGGAAGAATTTTGATAATTAAGATCAATCGTGAATTCCTGAAAAACATACCTGGATGGGCTGGATCACACTGCTGAGCATGAGGCCTATCCGTGCAGAAACACTTGAAATGATAAGTGGAAGCATTGAACCCACACTTGCCACCACTTTCTTCACAAACACTGCAATTACTTGCTGTCCAGTTAAGCAAAAATCCTCTTTTTATCACCTCTCCAATCCCAAAACCACCACCATTTCCGGCATACACGTCCACCGGAGCCACCACCCGATCACCGCTACATACCCGGGAAGCATTTTCCAGGTTAGGATCATTCCTAACCAGCGCCAAAACTGTCCCTGCAGTTTTGTTCTTATTTTCACAGATACCAGCTCTGTACCGTAAAAGTTCTCCAGGCAATGAAGAGTTACAATTGTATAGCAAAACGAGTTCACTTTGGTTAGAAAGAAGCGCAAAGCGGTCCTCAGGAAGAGACACGTTTTGGATTCGGTGACTGGAGAGATTTATACAAGAAGCGTTAGCGTTATTTGCTTCGGAAACTGCGGCGTTTGACACGCGAACAAACTGGTTGTTGTAGGAGATTTCGTGGATAATGTAGTCGATATTGTGTAAGTTCAGAACTGGGTTTCCGTTGCTATTGCAGGAGAGCTCAAATCCAGGATAGCCACAGAAGGGTTGTTGTTTTCCCCGGATATAAAATGGGAAGGTTATCGTCTGTCCATCGGCACAAGTTTCGCGCACACTGCAGGCTTTGTAAAAGTCGTCCACTTTTGCTGAAACTATTCTGGAAAGAACACAAAGAATGAAAACACAGAAGCATGAAACTTGATTCTTCATCTGGAGATGATGAAATTGTGAAGAAGAAAGAGAGAGAGATTGTAATGATTTATATATAATTTAGATATGAATAGAGAGTGAGAGTTGCCAGGATGTGTTTGTTTGACTTGTAATTGTTTAATTGTTGAGGGGTTAATTCCTAGACACCCCCGAGGTTTAGTAGATTTCATTATCTCCCCCGAGGTTTAGGAAACTAAGATGACACCCCATCGTAATATGAATAAGGGTATATTAGTCATTTAGTCCATGTGACAATTGAAAAAACCTAGTAAAACCCAATAATTCTTTCTTTTCCCCAAATCAAATTTCTCACTTTCTAAAATATCTAGTATTTTTAAATGAAATCTTCAAATTCCAAATTAATTTAAGAGGAGATTCAAAAGTTCAAAATTAATATTCTTTGGAAAATCAGTTGAAACAGAAAAAGTAAATTGAAATACCCCAACTCATTGCCAATATATTATCTATTATAGACTCATTATTCTTACGGTTTTGCATTCTTGATAACTTAAGAATTCACAAATATTTAACTAGCTTTCACGTCTCTTTTCCAAGCAATATTAGATGTTAAATAATTATGCCAGTCCAACCATCACGATGAGTATTGTGCCATCGTTGGTTTCCTTTCTCATTTGAGTTGCACTCAAATGGGTAAAATCAATTGTCTAACTAGTCAACAAGAATTAGGATAGATAGAAACTAAGGATGGGGGGTATCATCGTTAGTTTCCTGAAATTTGGGGGTGGGTAGAAATTAACCCAATTAGTGGGTCTATTTTGTGTGCCAGATAGAGTAGAAAAGACGGTACAAATCAGCCCCACATCTTGGACTGTTGAATAGAAGGCAATGACCCAAATGGGGTCAGAATTAAAAAAAAAAAGTAATGCAAGTTGACCAACTTGTTTAATTAATGAATCTTGGTTACTTGTTACAATGAATTAAAAAAAAAAAAAAAAAAGTCTGGACACAGTTCTTTTGAACCTTCAATATTGAATGATTATACTTGTTTTAGAGAAAGAGGTTTAGTTTGAATACAGGGTGCAAGAATTGACAGCTTCACAATAATAGTTGACAAAATATATTGAGAAGTTTATCAATATTTTCTCTACTTTGTCATATGGAAAGTCACATGACTGTAAGGGAATGATAAGGACAATTCCCAAGAAAAATCAACTCACAAGGGCTTAGTCAAGCGATACTCAAAGAAGGGTTAGTCGAGCCATATTCGGGTCTATAAAGTGAATTCATAAATAAAGTCACGAAACATATTTACATGTTTATATAGATGAAAAGAGATATAAGAGCTTTTTCACGATTAAGAATTAGTCAAATGGTAAAGACGAACCAAGGGAGCTGCAAATGAGTAGAACTCACAATCCCACGTTCGATTATTTATTGGGTGCGAAGTTAATACATTTGTTCATGATTTACCTAATAAGGGCATGGCAGTGGATTGTTGTTGGATAGCTCTCCTGAGGATTAGTTGATGATTTAATTAGTAGGTCAAAATGTGCGTAAACTGATCCAAACAACTCAATTACTAAAAAAAATATATACATGAGAGGTCATGAC